CAACTGCAACAAAGGCTTACTGCCTTTGAGAATAGACAACACGGAGAGGTCAACCAAAGCTAGAAATGTGACTCGCCAGATTGGGAGGTGAAAGTGAATCCCTTCCATTAGGAAGTTTCCAGTGATGTGAAATATCAGAGGAGAAATCATGGTTTTGGAGTGAAGGTTGACTTGCCAAATTTTTATGGATGTTTGGGCCTAGATGAATTTAATGAGTGGCTTCAAACAGTGGAGCAAATTTTTTAACACAAAGATGTTCCCCTGGACAAGAGAGTGAAATCGACTGCATCAAGCTCAAGAAGAACGGTTTCTTGTGGTTGGAGAACCTTAAAGTATATTCGACAACGAGAAAGTAAGAATAAGATCATCATATGGTCTATAAGATGAAAAGAGAGATGCATCGCAAATATTTTCTCTCGCATTATCGATAGGACATATTTATTAAATTTAATAACTTACGTCAGTGAGATTCTTCTTTTGAGGAATACTCAACTTAATTTGATCTATCATGTTAAAATATTAGTTGGTGGAATTAGAGGAACACACAATGGTGATGTATCTTGGAGGATTGAGGCCATGTATTAGTAGCATAATGCATCTACAACCGTATGGGTCACTACTCGATATATAGGCCCTAGCTTTAAAGGTGAAAAAATAACAACATCAACGATGAACACCACACTTTACAGACATAATTTAGCCAAGGATTAGGCAGTTGGGGTACATGCATTGGAGCTTACAAGCTGACCTCTCTCGAGAAAAAAAAAATAGGTTAGAGTGAAGAAAATGTGAAGATTTTCAGCAGTCCCAAAACCATGCCAAATAGAAAGTAGTTCAAGTGCTATAATTTTGGGCACAATGTGTCGGATTGTCTAAACAAGTTGATCTCTTTTACTTAAGCAGGGAGAAATTTAAAAAATAGACAGTGACAGGAGAGAATGAGGATGTCAGAGAGAAGTATCAGCTTCCAACAGACGAGGTAGAAATGTTAATAATTTGATTGGTCCTTCAGACACAGTCCAAGGGAGAGTAATTGTGGCTCCACCACCTCTTTCGTACCCATTGCACCATGAAGGGAAGGGTGTGTAGTCTCATTATAGATGGAGACAATTGTGAAAATGTGGTATCTACACAGAAGATAGACAAAGTTGAGTCATACTACTCAGGTGTATTCCCAATCATATTCCCTAATTTAGTTGAAGAAAGGGGAATAAGATCAATATTGACAAGAGTTGTTTGATAGAAATTTCAATTGAAGATAAGATGCAAGATCAAATTTGATGTGATGTTGTACCTATGGATGCACGTCACATTCATATGTCGTCTACGAGCTTTTTCTAAAATGTAAGCCTTCCTTTTCATGAAAATAAGTTCTTTCATGAACCGAATAATCATTATGGAAGGTCAAGTTTATTCTCAAATCTCATTGCTCATGTCTTTCTTTAAGTCAAATATATTCAAACTAGAGCTGAGGCCAATTCATTTTTTCTAATATAAGGAACATGATGAATTCATTAAAATGTTCTATATCATGTAGATGCTAGTCTTAGTGGAGACTCTTCAGAATTGTCTCAAGTCAATCATCCAAGCTATGTTGTAGGGTCTGTTTGGGGTAGCTGTAGCTTATCCAGCTTCTGCCGATAAGCAGCTTGTTCTGATAATCTGCTGATGAGCAGCTGATCCAAATAAGCTGTGTGGCTGTTTGGTTTGTGCGTTTGGAAAACAACTGATTATGGATAAATGACTATTTTGCCCTGCTGTGGATAAGCTGTTTAGTTGTTTGATTTGTGAGTTTTGTAAACAGCTTATTTGCAGACTTTTTTAGTCAAATGAATAATCTGTCACGCATAATTTGTAATTTTCTCAACAAAATTAAATTTCAAATGTTAAGACAAGAAAATACCAAACACTAAGGGATCAGATTCTGTTACACATTTTACGATTCTTCTCCAATCAGAGCAAATAACTGCACACATGTATGTTACACATGCCACGATCAAACCATTGAGAATTTCATAAAAATGAAAAATATGGGTTGGGTTTTATTACGAATTTTGATATTTGAGTGAAAATTTGAAAAATGGATGAAAGATGGTGTTGGATTTGTAAATAGCTATGTTTTAGGTGTCATGTATGTAATTTCCCCTTAAAATAAAGGTGACAATGTAAGAGCAATAACCATGTAGCACAATGGTCTTGTTTCTTCAATCACTTTGAATGGCAAGAAAAAATGAACATTTCATAGTAGCAAATTTTTAAAGCCTGAACAAAAAATAAGGATTGAGAAGGAAAACCTTCATTCAAAACATT